GTTTATTGGATTTCTCATGTTCTGAAGTTTTAATTGCATAAATTTACTCTTTGAATTTAGAATTGTCTTTACCGTGTATTTGTTAAAGTTTTGATTCCATAAGCGAACAGAAGCTTGACTTGTTGTTCTTTTCTTTGAATTTACGTGTTGTAGCTCTGCAGAAACATAGAAAAATTAAAGAAATATTTCAATTTAACAGATACCCAAGTAAAGCGGTGAGGTCTTAGACTTCTTTGCAACGTCAAAATGTATAATAGCTACATAGTTTTGACAGGATGAAACACGAGAAATAAAAAAGCTAAAGTGAAAGCTACCCCTTATAACTCTGCGGAATAATAATTTGTTAATATTATGAAAGTAAAGTACAACTTTGGTAGCAAATTTTCAACGTTTGAAGATTACTGGATATTTGCAGTTGCGCGCTGCGACCTTCAGAAGCGGTTCGGATGGTTTAAGTATTGTAAAATACATGGGGAGTACTGCAAAAATAGTAGGCTTTTTTCAGCTTTACGTCCTATTCCTGCTCGTAGCTCCCGATACCAAAAAATCGCCATCTCCATATTTCAATATGTTTCAGAGCAAAAAATTTTGCACAAAATATCTTTTTAAAAAATTTAAAACTTTGTTTTTTTTATGTTTGGTTGAAATTTTTCTCGTTGTATTTATGTGATTTTTTAAAAAAATTGAAAAAATGAATAAGTATTTAAAAGTTCAAGAAATGGCAAATCTAAAGATTAAAAAAGCATTAAATTCTATTCAGAACGCTAAATTACAAGTCTGTAAAGATGGGCAAGTCAGGTGGCAACCTGGCAAATTTCGCCTTTTTGAGGGGGTGTAACTTGGCGAGGAATTCACTTCTCCAGGTTTTTTTTTGCGGCTTTCTCTATGCTCGCCTGAGCTCTACTAATCAGCTAAAATTTTGAAGAAAATCTGAGATATGAAGGGAAAAAAGTGTGCTATTTGACGTGGGATGGCCCATATATATTTCTATGTAACAGTTACTTTTTTTTCCATTATGAGGTGGGAGTTGATGAAGGCAAAAGGAACAACAGAGCTACATCACTGTTCTCGTCTTCTTCTTACTCCTCTTCTCCATGCCTTTTACGGTGATCAGAGATAGTAATTTCTGTCCAAAACTGATGTCGGTCATCGCAGCACAAAAAACTTAACAAATATGGAGAAGAATAAAGAAAACTTCTGTTTTTCCCCTTGTCTTTTTTTTTTTTAATAGCTGTCATCGCAAAGGTTTGTTCATTTTTCAAGGGTTATGATCGAGTAACCAGAGATAATTTTGAAAAAACGACTCAATTCCGACCATTTTACTTGTCTTAATGCTATCGCTGTTACGTTGAACGACAGTAGGTTCCCCATAATTCTTAGTCGGTGCAGTCATGCATTTCCTTTAAAAATTAGGCTTTTTGGTAGACTGTTCGTTTTCATTTCCACAGCTTTGCTGATTAAATTTCTTATGAATGAACATGATATAATCAAAAAAGGAAAGAAAAAAAAACTATAGAGAAGCTAAACTAATAATTGAGTTTGCAATCAGACGGTGCGGAAATTACTGTTAGTTTTTTGGGTTTTGTGGGTACAACTTAATTAGGTGTGAAAAGTCAGTAGTCCCTGATCAGCAAAACTTCAGCTTTTTAAATTCATTCGACAGGTTCAGCGTAGACTGTAAAAGCAGCACCAAGCAACTGCTCATCTTACATGTGGAGGAGGTTGGTCCTGATTCTGGATTGTCGCTTGCTGAAAGTTCTAGTTCCCCAAATCCTACTTGTTACGGCACTTTTTTTTTTTGTCAGTAATCTCGAATACGGCTTTATTATCACCACGCAAACTTCTGCAGCAAGGTTTTACTTCTGACTAAAGGATGTTTTTAGCGTTAAGCTGCCATTCACTGCCCCCTTGTCTAAAGATTTTGAGAAAAGCATTTTATTTTAAGGTACAGGTTCACATCTGTATAAAAATATTTTCGCCAAATATTCTTCATGGGTTTTAGAATAAATTCTTTATTAGTTGCGGAAGAACTTAAACAAAATGTTTATTTCTTCTGGAATTCTAGTTCAAACAATTTCTATGAACACTTCATCCGAATATTAACTAAAATTTAAATTGAATATTTCTTTCATTTGGGTTCTTTTTAAGCAAAATAAATGCTTTATTCTATTTTAACACGGCGTTTCGGTCGGATAAAATAAACATATATTTTATTTCGTGGCAATAAGTATCCGTTTAGAGCACCTGATACAAATAACAAAATGAGAGACTTAGTTTATTGGTATGGTATAATAACTGTATTCTAGGTAGCCGTCTTTACATGGTCCGACCTATGGTATGACATTGAATTAAAAAGCGAATACGGTGTGAAGTTTGCAGCATCGTTACATTTCTGATAGTAATTCCTTTCATATCTGAAAATTAATACTGTGAAAAATCTAAATAAAGCAATACAGGCAACAAAACGAATTTTCATCCGTAAGCATAAGTTTGCAATATAGCAAAAATATTTGTTTTCCTTGAGAGTCAGCGATTTTATATGAATAATATCAACGACAACAGCAATGGTAAATACATTAACACTAATACTGATGCCACCAATATCAATAACAGTCGTATTACTAATAGTAATAGCAACAATAGTAAAAATGATAGCCATGAGAAAAGACACGAATGTGGATGTAAGTAGGAACATGTAAATGACAGTATGTTCAATTCCGGTTCACAGCTTTATATATACAGGAGGACTACGACAGCAAAACCAGATTAATAAAACACTGGTTTGCATCGTGACGCTAGATTTATGAAAAACTTAAGTAATTAAACGGTAAAGAGAAGTGTAATTCTCCTCATTTACTACTTTTCTTCAATCACAGTGACCAAGAAATAAACCATGAACTCCAGCCGGCAAAGAAGGCACAAGCGATGGAAAAGGACGCTTACTTAATAGTGCTAGATACTACTACGAGTAACTGTAATCCGCATAAAGATAGTGAATTCTTACATCATTTCAAGGGTCAATTGAATGCCATTTAGTTCAGAACCAGCACCAGAATTTTCATGCTGTTATTTTTGCTTGCTTATGATGTACCGAGCAGATATGGCTGTAGAAAACAAAGATACGCATTCCATTTTAACAGTGGTAAGACTACAAAAAGTAGATACCTTCACAACGAATCAGTAAAAGAAACAAAGACTCTATCATCATTTGACATTAACGCTGAGCTGTTTGTCCAACGGTCGTTGGGTAGCTCGCCATCAAATTTTTATCCGATAACGTAGCCGCTGTTTTATGGCTGCTGTTTTTGGATGACATTCAGCTGTATCGTCCAATCATCTATCCGAATTTCAAAATGGCGTCCACAAATTTACTGCTGCCATACATTTATTCTTTGCGCTAATTCAGAAAAAATTTCTCGTTTTCTTTTTGCTATTGCTGGTGAATTACAGTCTGAACATTTGTATAATATACGATGTTATTTTTAAGATTGATCACTTTTTTTTTGGAGCTTTTTCGCCTTTAAATGATTCACGTGTTGGCGCGAATAATGTTTTTTGGATAAGCACTAAATGTGAACGGTTTGCTTTGTAATCCAACTTTAAATCTAACCACCGATGCTTTCATGTATTGGGAGGATTTGCGGACTGACTATACGTGAATGTGAAAGTTCAGTTTTGGTGGTGCAGCGCGGAGGTAATATCTTCAGATTTCTAAGGCTATCGGTAGGCTATTTTGAAGAGAGCTGTGCTAGAAGTTTTGGCTACAAACAAGTGAACCACACTTTTGGAGCGGACAGTGCATTGAATCACCGAAATATTTTGGAAAAAATGCCGAGGACGAAAAGGAGTCGGAAAAGTGCAGAGGAAAAAGAGGGAGAAGAAATGAAAGTGGTGTTGAAAAAGCCTCGGAAGACAACGAAGTGTAGCAGAGTCAAGGAACAGCCGAAAAGGGAGGTTATGGTTAAAAGGAAGAGTAGAGTGGAAAAGAAATCTGCAAACGTCAAAAAGCTTAAAATTGACAGTAAGGAGGGCGTGGCTTCAGGGTCTAGTGGTTCTAAAATCAAAAGTCAGAAGCAGGCTCGGGCTAGAAATAGTAGTGTTGAAGCTGGTGAAACTGGAGCAGCGTCAAAGACCATCAAAGTGATGACATGGAACGTTGCAGGTATCAGAGCCTGGGTCAAAGTATGTTATTTAAATCTCTTCATAAAGTTCTTTAATTTTTGTTCACCTGAGATGGGATTGGTTTCGCTGTTTTTCATGAAGTGGCGCTAATTCTTTTGGCGTGTTTTATTGTTTTTTTTCATTGTATATTAGAAATAGTGACAAATATCTTTTTCGTCAATCAGTGTTCTATTTAAATAAAAAGAGATGTATTTTTCAGCAACTATTTCGTAAACTACCATCCTCAGTGTCTTGTCTTTCTTTTAGAAAAAAGCACATCAAATCTTGAAGGATGAGTCACCGGACTTTTTTGCGTTGCAAGAGACAAAATGCGACTCTATACCTAAAGAGATGGATATCAAAGGTTACCACCACTATTTAGAATCACCTGCTGATAAGTCTGGTTACGCAGGAGTATTGATCCTTACAAAGGAACCACCTACAAAAGTAGCTTATCATTTCCTGCAGTTAATGGGTTTTAAAAGGCTTAAAGGTTTTAATATGCTTCTTGTCGTTGTCACTTACGGGTCTTTACGTCATCCTGTGGAAAATGTTAAAGGTTTTTATCCTTCTCTAATCATATAAATAATCTTTAGGTCATTTATGGATCACAGCTGCATGACGCTGCGAGAGGTCGTCTGATTGTCGCTGAATTTGATCGGTATTACATCATTAATTCATACGTCCCAAACAGTGGTAGAGGTCTAGTCAATCTCGAAAAACGGAAGCTTTGGGAAGACTGGTTTCTTCCCGAACTAAAAAAATTAGATGCAGAAAAGCCTGTAATTTATACGGGTGATCTGAATGTGGCTCACGAGGAAATAGGTGAAACTTATAGTTGAAGTTTATGCAGTTTATTTTCACTTTATTGTCTTGATCTTTAGTTTTTTTTAATATTAATTTTGTACTCATTTTAGGATATTTTAGTTTTTAAATGCTAGTGGCGTAACTACTTTGATTTTTCCTTGAACCGAAGAAGGTGTTTTATGTTCAGTTAAGCACGAATTCAATCTTTTTTTAAAGATTTGGCGAATCCGAAGACGAATAAAAATAGAACCGCAGGTTTTACTGATCAAGAGCGGGATGATTTCACTCGTCTTCTAGATGCTGGTTTGTCATGCTTGGTCACACTTTGCTAATTTTTCCTTGTTGGATCTAATATTTAAAAAATAATTCAGGCTTTGTTGATGTTTTTCGAAAACTGAATCCAGATAAGGAAGGTGCGTACACTTTCTGGTCAAATATGCATGGCGCACGAGCCAAGAATGTTGGATGGAGGTAGTTTTTCATTTTCTAAACTTAGTTATTAATCAGTAATTTTCTATATTGGTGCTGATATTATTTATCTTATTGGTTGCCAGAACACTTGATTTTTCTTTTTGCAGGCTAGACTACTTCGTCGTTAGCGAACGGTTGTTTGATAAAGTGAAGCGATGTGAGATCTTGAAAGAAGTCACAGGCAGCGATCATTGCCCTCTCCTTCTTGAGTTCTCATTATAATTGGGACTTTGCTGTTCTTTCTACTCCATGTTTTTAGAAGTTCTTTTTTCATAGCGCTGTCGTCCTGAAATGTCATTTATAATGTTGTCCAATTTGGTGCTTTCTTTTTTGCCTCATTTCAGCTTTGCATTCAAGTAGTATGTTACTTGTTGCGTGAAGCCATTTATCGGATACCTCATTCTTCAAAATTTTTCAACCGGATTTATTGTTGTTTCTGTAAAATTATACCTTTTTCGCAGTATGGACGCTGGATGTTGATGCGTATTAATTTTCTTAGATAGGCTTTGTTCATTTTCAAATGCAAACTTAAGGCGTACAAGTTTAGGCCGTTTTCTAAAAGTTCTGACAGGATTATTCCTCTACACGTTTCGTTTTTATAACTTCTTATCGTGTTAATTTTGTTCTGCGTAGTTTCCAAAGAATATGTCAGCTTGGCAAATGTTTCCTCTCATTGCTCCATTGTCGTATTATCTCAAATAACAATACCGGGTGACTTCATTAATCTCACTAAGCAGTTTTTCCTTTTAGATCTCTCAACTGCTTTAGTAATTTCAGTAGTTATCGATTAAACAGCGAGTTTTGGGATTTTGGAAGACTACCCGGTTTGTAAGTCGTTATACTCGTGTTCTGTCAGTATCACAACCCGATATTGTAATTATAGATCTCATAAAAACCATTTATCGAGAATTCTGTTGTGCTTCGCCGTACCCCAATTCCTTCCACTTCTTGGGGTGAGTTTAGGAAGCCCTTTACTGGCGGTATTTGCTGGTCAGTGTACGTTTGTCAGGTCATTTTTAGGAAGTTGAGGCTGTTGGGTGCGAGGTGTTGGATAAGGTCTGTGCAGTGCGAATGAAATTTCTAAAGTGCCATATGAGGTGCATATAATGGAACAATTTCTTTCTGAGATGTGCTGGGGCGGGTAACATTTGCGTTTGCAAAGCAAAGAAATGGTAGCAGTTGCAGAAGATGGATGGGTTTGCGGGTATGTTGGGTAATCTGGCTGTGGTTGTCAATCGACATTCTCTGCTGTGCAACAGTATGTTCTTGTAATTTTTGTGACTCTATTGCTTTTTATAAAGTATTAGAACTATTTCTCACTTCCTTTCAGCCACTACTTATTCATGCCTTTTTCCGCTAAAACATCTTTTTTGACCTATAGACACTTCAAATGACTTAAGTACTGTACATTTTTCAAGGGTTTCTGTGCATTGAAATTACGGGCTCTTAAAGGCTTAGGAGCCTAAAAGTGAACCGTGGATTGGAACCAAGGATTTTGGGAGCAGAAGATGAGGTTTAACGGAGAGTACAAGTTGCTCTGGGACTTTCAATAGGTGCTTTTTTCTAAACAAACCCAAGCAGTTTTTGGAAGTTATACCACAGCATTTGGTCATTTTTAGTATCGAAATTTGAAATTGGTGGGGTCTCGATATAAACTCGTTGAAATTGAATTTGAACACGAATCAATTCCACAATTTTAATCCGGGAGTTGTTGACAAACTTTGATTTGTTGGTCGAAAGAGAGTCATTTTCAAAATGCTATATTTGCTGTACAATTTTCGAAGGTTTCTGTGGGTTTCATTTTCGTCGATCAAGTTCTTTACATCTGATTGCTAAACTAATACTGTAATAACTAACTTTTAGCTGGAGAAACATAAAGATCGACTTAGATCAGTGATCTATTTCAAAAGGAACGAGCAGTAAGGCAAATTTTTTTTCCGTTCCTCTTTTTTCAACTTTACAAGCTACCAAGTAATCTGTACTGGAAACACTAAATTACTCGACCGAAGGTTTCAAGAATTGAAAGGCATGCGGTCTTTTCTTCAAAGACGCACTTGCAGGCCACGATCAATTTCTTCATTTAAGTAGGAGCAAATTTATCTGAAGCTTCTGAAATATGAGAGTGAGGGTCAGGTTTTTTTATTGCTGACACCACAGATGGTTCATTTCCTTTTTTTTTTTT